TTCGGGCTCTTGTATTTATCTTTTTTTCATCTTTATCCTTTTTTTTTGGGGGGGGGGGGGATTCTTGTTGCAGAATGACATTTGAACAGCTGACTATCATTTATTTTATCTCTTCTAATTGTTAACATTACCCCCTTCCATTGTAAATACTGCTATTATCATAATCTTGTGCATAGTTTTCATGAGGATTACTTAATTACTAATCTTCTTCAGTGATACGGAGCTTAGAGCTGATTAGATACACATGTCCCACTCCGATATACGAAAACACGGTCACATCACCTCCATATTTTTTCATTAAATTTTACAACCCCCATCCATCATCCACCCCATTATCAACGTCAATACCAGTGATGCCCTTTGTGCCCAAGTACACACATCGGGCTTTAACATGCAACCCGTCCTCTCCATTATAAATCTACATAGTTCCGACCCTCAACTGCGTTCCCACAGGACGTCCCGACTCCCTTCCTCCCAGTGCTTAAAACTCTTGTCAAATCTCAAGTTAAAAGGATGTTTGTTTCCTATTTCCTAACTGTATCGGTATTTTTTCATGTTTTTATTTCTTTTTTTTTGCGTTTTGTTTGGACGCGGCTTCGACCAGTTCGAAATTCCAAAATGGCGGGAGGTATAATGAGGTTCGGTTACGATTTGAAATTCCGCGCGCTTTTCAACTTTACCTCCCTCCCTCCTTCCCTCCCCTCCCTCCTTCTCTTCTCTCTGAACCGGACCAGAATCGCTAATCAGAATCTTAATGACGGGACCAACAACCAATCAGTGATAGAAGTGAAATCAGAATATCAAATGAGAAGAATCGACCGAAAGTAATGGTCAGGGATGGCAGGGGGAGCAATTTCTAGTCAAGATCAGCTGTCACTTTGGACACTGACCAATCTCCGCCAATGAAACGAATTGCTTATTTTCATTACGACCATATACAAGCTGCCTCTGCATATGTATTTACGGATTCCATTCATCGTTGCCATTTTTTAAAACCTTAGGGGATAAAATGGACTTGTTTCTTTTGTGATGTGCCTATCTCGGGATCATTTTACAAATCTGATGTGCTTATTTCGGGAAGATTTTAAATATTTCATGTACACATTTGTGTGTGTGTGTGTATGTGTGTAAGTATGAGTATGAGTATGAGTATGTATGAGTATGAATATGAGTGTGTGTGTGTGTGTGTGTGTGTGTGTGTGTGTGTGTGTGTGTGTGTGCGCGCGCGTGCGTGTATGTGTGCGTGCGGATAGACATACACTAACTTATCCACATATTATTGCTAACAGTACTTAAACAAAAAAACATTTGTATATAAAGAATTCATTTTGAAGGTCTAACGAATGCATATCAGTTTGCAAAAGAAATGTAAGAAACCTTATCAATTTTGTGCAAATAACACACATACATATCTATATATACTATATATACTTATATGTTATATATGTAAAATATACATACTAATATATGCATATACATGCATACATATAACATGTATACATATATATAACATATAAACCTATATATAAAACACCCACCCACCCACCACCCACCCACACACACACACACACACACACACACACATATATATATATATATATATATATATATATATATATATATATATATATATATATATGAGTGTACGAATAACGGTATGGAGCGCATTGTTTACATGACCATAAACCACCAAATAAACATTGTAAACATGTAATACACGCGCTCCCAGACCCCCTAACCACAGGGAGCTGACGTCGCTGACACACATCTTGACGGCTGACACTTGAACATGCCAGATGTATAATGAGATGCAGAGTGACAGAGCATTCTTCGCTCCCCAGCAAAGGCCATATTCGGCCGCTATGTGCCCTCCTTTCGCACGGAACAGCTGGGCCCTGTTTTTGAAAGCTGGATTTGAGCGGGGATCCCAACCAGTTTTTTTTTCCTGAGTCCCAAAGGCTGTTGGATCTTTCACAACAAACAGTTTGACATCGTTAATTAGATGCCGGGTTGGTGTGGGGTGTCCCAAGAAGAAGAAGAAGAAGAAGAGGAAGAAGGAAGAGGACGAAAGGGAGACGGGGGGAGGAGGAGATGATGGAAGGAGGAGGAGTAAAAGAAGGAAAAAAAGAGGAAAACAAGGAGGAGGAGGAGGAGGAGAATAAAAAAAAGTGAGAGACGAGCAGAACAAGAAGAGAAAAAAAGTGGGAGATGAGTAGAACAAGAAGAAAAAAGGAAAGAGCTTAGACGAACGCCATATCACGCTCATGTCTACTTGGCAGAGGTTACAAAAACGCCTCTCCCGCGCCGAGAGTCACGAGCGCACCTTCGTCCAGGCACCTTTGTCTCTGGGCGAAACAGTGCGAAATCAGCTGAGGAAGACGAAATCAGCTGGTGGAGAAGAAATCAGCTGATCAGCTGATGGAGAAGAAATCAGCTGCAGCTGATGGAGAAGAAATCAGCTGGTGGAATAGAAATCAGCTGATGGCCAAGAAATCAGCTGATGGACAAGAAATCAGCTGCTGGAACAGAACCCAGCTGGTAGGGAAGAATCCAGCTGGGGAAGAGAAACCCAGCTGGTGCACGTAAAGTGAGCTAGGGCAGGTGAACCCAAGTGACGCAAGTGGGCTCAGTTGGTGCAAGTGAACTAAGGTGGTACAAGTGAACAGGTGCAAATGAACTCAGCTGTTTCCAGTGAACCCAGGTAGAGACGCAAGCGAACTCAGCAAGTACAAATGAAAACCAGGTGGTGCACGTGAACTCAGGTGGTGTAAGGTAATCCAGATGTGTACAACTCCGGAGGTGTAGGAAATCCAGATGGTGCACGTGAAAGACCAGATGGTGCCCAGAAACCGAGACGGTGATATCAGCTGGTGCACGTGAACTCAGGGGGTGTAAGGAAATCCAGATGGTGCACGTGAACCGAGACGGTGATATCAGCTGATGCAAGCTGAACGAGGAGAGAAAATCCGAGAGCAGCTAGACATTCCTTCTCCAACTAATTGGGCCTTTGCAACAAGAAACACATTAACAAATTCTTGAAAGGCTTGCAACTGGATCAGCTATTTCCAATCTTAGCGGGGAGAAAAAAATGATCTGAGTGGAATTCCCATCATTAACATTACGGACATTATAAATCTTGTTAACAATGAGGCTACGCATTTTGTAATGAGGTGGAGTATAGCTTTTTTTTTAAATGTTAACGACTATAAGAAATATCTAATAATATGAGCGTTATTTTGAATACTCAAAGACTAATCTTTGACTGAATTGCTTCAAGTGATATTTTTAAAGCAACCGTTTTTTAGCATCAGTTTTAAGTAATGCGAATTTAACGACAAAGCCGGCCATTAAAGATAAAGATGCTAATGACACTGGTAATAATTGCGTTTCGGGTCGCCACCCCCATCGCCATCATCATCACCACAAAACATATTAAGGTGATGAAAATAAAATTAATCTTACACAAAGAATATCATTATCATTACAAAGAATATCATTATCATTATAAAGAATATCATTATCATTATAAATATCATTATCATTATAAAGAATATCATTATCATTATAAAGAATATCATTATCATTATAAATATCATTTTCATTATCATTATAAATATCATTATCATTATCATTATAAATATCATTATCATTATCATTATAAATATCATTATCATTATCCTTATATATCAATATAAAGCTTATCAAAGATAAAATTCAGAATAAAAATACGTGAAGAAAGTTGCTCACTATACTCACACCAATACATAAAATAATGCTAAAAAAGACAATTTTACACGAAGAATAGAATAGCTTATCATTACGATCACCTCAAAAGATAAAATTGATAGCAATAATACGTGATGGAGAAGATAGTGACTCAATATACTCACATCAGTAGATAAGATAATACTAAAATAGAATTCATTTTACACGAAGAATAAAAGAGTGTATCACTATGATCACCTCAAAGATTAAATTGATAACAATAATACATGAAAAAGACTCACTATACTCACACCAATAGGTAAAATAACACTAATTCTACCCGACAAAAAGGATAATGAACCGCAATATTCATCTCAAAGATTTAAAAAATTTAAGACATTAACTCGGCGATGATGAATATAATCGCCTCAAAGATATAAAAAAACTAACGCTAATTATACGCAAACGGAGATGATAGTGACGATAGTGAATCACTGTATCCACCTCAAAAGACAAAAATAATACCAATCACACGATGGCGAGGATAGTGAGGAGGAAAGGATAACGACCATATCAAAAACAGCGAAGACAAGAAGAAGAAGCGTCACGATGGGTGAATCCTCCCCTCACCCCTACTCCCCCCTTCCCACCCCCATCCTCTCCCTCACCTCTATCCCACCCCCTTCCTCTCCCTCTACTCCCATCCCCCACCGCCATCCTTTCCCCCTTTCCCCAACCCTATCCAATCCCCTCCCCCCACCCCCTTTCTCCCCCACTCATCTTTTCGCCCAATTCCCCATCCCATCCCCCCCTTTCCTAGACCCCCCATGTCCTCCCCCACTCCCATCCTTTCCCACCTTCCCATCCCATCCCATCCCCCACCCCCATCCTTTCCCCCATCCCCACAAGCTCCCCAACCTCCCCCTCTTTGTGTACGTCGCGAGTGCACGAGTGTGACCATTAATGGAAGGCGTGTTGAGACTGACTAATCCCCGCCCACATGACACAACTACGCCCATCCCCCTCCGCCCTCCGATCCCGCCCATCTGAGCGCGCATATCCCTAAAAATAAAAATAAAAGATTAAACCCAGAAATTTCCACACTTTTTCTCGTCTCAGAATAATTAATACCCCCCGAATTATCAAGATTAAACCCCATCATTTATTTATACAAAAAGCAAACTTAATAAACCAGCGCTTGAGAAGACAGAAGTCCCCCGATTAAACCGACTTCCTAATTGACCAACTGGCAACCCTCCCCCCTCCCCCTCCATCCTCCCCACAGCAGGACTTCC